AAAAACTTTAAAATTAACCTACATTTTAAACCAATGCTCGATCAAACCCCCCCCCCCCCCCCCGGTCCACAGTTGTTCATAAGTTTCTATTTTTCTTTTTTGTAAATTATTTTGTCTGAATCCGTAGCTGAGGCCAGTAGAGCCTCTTTTAGCTGCTTTGTGTTGCAGTTGGTGTTTAATGTCATGTCTTCCTGTTCTGGTTCTTATAAGTCTAAAGGACTCTTGTCCTGCAGAAATCCTCTGGTCTCTGTGAGCACCGCAGCTTTAAGACAAACATTTCATGATCACCTCCACCTGCCATCCACCTGCCAACATGGCCGCCGCTCTGCATGGAGACTCTGCTGGCTGGAAAACACCAGCAGACACGTTCATAACTCCTTCATAACAAATCGTCGCTCAGTGAGCTGAAGAGGCAGAAATGCTGATCAGTCAGGCCGAGTCTCACCAACACTTCCCTAAAGATGGTTTCCCGGAGCGGATCCTTAACCCGACCAGCTTCGGTTGTCCTGATCAGATTAGTTCCTCTCTCTACAAAATGTTCTGAAATTCATGTCCTCCGTTCCTGTGGAGCAGAGCAGTGAAAGCATCTCTTCTCATAAACTAAAACGTTTGAATCTGCAGATCCAGATCAGAATGAAAGCAACACATCCTGAAAATATACTGCAGGTATTAAATTTCTCTGTAAACAAACTCCTCTTGACAGATGGATGGGAGAAAACCAGCAAAGATGCCTCCTGACAGATGAGACATTATATTTTTTGTGGCGTCTGTCCCAATCTAATGCCGCCCTGGGGAAGTGCCCATATCAGAAACTTCCTGGGATTAACTTCCTGGTTAATCCCAGGCTGTGAGATGATTATTCTCTAGATTAGGATTGTGTGTAGCTGTGTTTTAACTCTTGTTTTTCAATAAAATAATTTGTGCAGGAGCTTCAAATCGTTGTATGGAAGGCCAAAAGGGACAAAATTGTAAAAAATATTAAAAATGTATTAAATGTTTGAAGAATTTAATGTACCATTAATTTGTTTCATATGTGATAAAATCATAAAGCTAACTTATTACAGCTGTTAAATTCAATGTGTTTTAATGATTTAATTGTTCCTCCCAAACCCCCCCAGCGTTCATCTTTTTTTTTTTTTCATTCATCCATCCATCCTGCGCTGCCTTGCAATGGCACGGCGCACCCCCAAGGGGGCGCGCGCCCCACAGTTTGGGAACCTCTGCCTTACAGGTTAAATAAACCAAATTATTGCTGTTAGTTTTTACTGTTTCCACACGGCGCCCCCTAGCAGCCCAGCCTGTAATCGTCTCCGTCTCCTCCAGGGATCCTGTACAGGAAGTCGTGCGCCTCCTCCTCCGCCTGCCTCATCTCCTCCTCTGGCTACCAGCAGTTCTGCACCGGGAAGCTCCACTCTGTCTGCATCAGCTGCTGCAGCACGCCGCTCTGCAACGGGCCCCGCCAGAAGAGGCGGCCCCTGCCTTCATCTGGCGCGGCCCCCGCCGGGCTCCCACTCCTCATGTTGGTCCTCCTCCTGCTGGACTCCATCCTCTGCTGACAGAGACTCGCTGGGTCTGGAGGATCTTATCCTGATTTCACTGATTGTTTGAAAACCAGAGCAGGAAACAGGAAGTTACTTTAAGATCAGAGCAGATCCACCATTTCTACTGTTAGGACAGAGTTAGCATGCTAACAGCTGGCTAGTAAACGGGGTAGAAATAAACAGAATAGATCAGTTATCACGTCGCAGTGAAACAACAGATTTTACACCAATTAAAGGAGCATTTCATATTTTATTAAATGTTTGTTTCTCTGAACGTTTTCCTGGTTTTATCTCAGCATCAGAAAGTTCATCACTTCACCTGAACCGACGCGATGCCGAGCTGAACGGTCCGCAGGGGGGGCGCCAGGGGGCCACGACCCCGCTGGGAAAACACAGAGCTTCAGAGTCCTGTCCTTCTGCCAGCTGGAAAGCAATCAATTAACGACTTGCTTATATTCCTGCAGAAGAAATAAATATGTAATTTTTCTAGAGAAGAGAGGAAGCAGCAAACCCTTCAGAATAAAGTTTCAGTTTTCATCTGAGCAACCTGCAGAACAGGGAGGGTTGATACTGAGAAACTCGCCTCTGATTTGATCTTTGACCTGCAGCAACTCTGCTACATCTGTTACAATGGCTTCACTTTAGATTCAGTGGAAATAAACTTTTGTTCCTTCTTGGTTTTTATAACTCAGGAGTGAAGCTCGTTTCTACGACAGCAGGCTGGGATCGTTGTAGATGGGAGGAAAAAAAAGACTAAATTTCTGTCAAATTTAAGAAAATTCTAAAAGAAAAAAAAACTTGGACATTTCTGAATTTAAAATGTCAAAACTTTTCCACTTCAGAAACTTTCCCAAGTTTTTTTTTCTTTTTTTTAGAAAATTTTTAAGATTAATCTCAAAATTTTAGTTTTTCCAAGCAAATTTTAAATGTTTCAAACTCTGTTTATCCTACAAAATGTCAGAGTTTTTTCTGCACAGTTTTGTTTTAGGTTATTTGTTTTGGACATGAGTCATTTTCTGTTGATGTGACCAGAGGAGAAAACCCCAAAATAATAAACTAACAATAGCAATAATTCAGCTGAGTTTTCTCAAGTAAAAGTTAAAAGTACAGAGGAATCAAAAATATTTTCCCAAAATGTTACTCAAGTAATTATATCTGAGTAAATGTTAGTTGCAGCTCTGAACACGTTTGTGGACCACCTTGTGAATATCATTAGTTTTATCTTTGTTTAGTTAATTTATTAATCTGTACCTAATATTAGTTGGCCATTTACAAAATAGATTGTTTTCTTAGTTGTAGATTAATTTTAATGCTGATTCCAAATGAATTGTAACAACCAAGACAGAAAGCTGTGAAAGTGGACAGATTATTGAAGGATTCAGTTCAGAAATGATCCATATTTATCTTCTCCTGTTGAATTAAACTGATATTTGGAGGGATTTTTCTGCAGCAGCGGGTTCTCCAGACTGGTCTGTTCTCTGGTCGGGGTTCCGGTCTGTTCTCTGGTCAGGGTTCCGGTCTGTTCTCTGGTCAGGGTTCCGGTCTGTTCTCCGGTCTGTTCTCTGGTCAGGGTTCCGGTCTGTTCTCCGGTCAGGGTTCCGGTCTGTTCTCTGGTCAGGGTTCCGGTCTGTTCTCCGGTCTGTTCTCCGGTCTGTTCTCCGGTCGGGGCTCCAGCTCTAATGAAGCAGCAGACCCGCAGCTGGAGCTTCGGCCGCCATGTTAGCGGCTCTGGGCGGCGGTGGCCGGTAGCCGGTGTGCGGGATGAGCCACGCAGCGTGCGGTTGCCTAGCAGAAACACTGAGCTCATCACTGAGGCTTCTGGGATCAATGATTTTGACACAAAGCAAACAACCAGAGGAGAAGAAAACAGCTTTGTTCCTTCCAGCTGCACTTCGACAAATCCAGGTGAGATATAGAGCCTGAACCATGCTAACACATAGCAACACGCTAATATGTAGAAAACCGTAAATTAAACTAATCTATTAGTGCAGCACAAAATGAGTCCTGCCCTTAATTTGAAAATATTCATTTAGACGTTAAGAAATATTTGTTTTTAGCCATTGTTATTCCTCTATCAATCTGTTTAAAACATCACTAGCAGCAGTGGGAGTATTTGTGCTCATGAGCTAATAACATAGCTAATTTTTAGCCTAGCGCTTTAGTTAGCTTTGACAACATTTAGCTTCCCTGGATAAATTCTGTAACGCCAATTTTCTTGGCTGTTTAGTAACTATCTTTGCTGAAGTTTTTTAATGATTGTTAAAAATTCTTCAAGTCGTTAGACGTTTATATTCATTCTCTTATTTTGAAGTGGATGACGAGAGTTTAAACAGCAGTTCCGTTTCCTGTCTTCACGTCCTCTCTTTGGCCCGGTCCAGCGCTCAGCGCCCCCTATGAAGATCAGTCACATCAGGGGTCAGGGGTCAGAACGGCCCTGGGTCTAGCTTCACATCCAAAATGGCGGATTGGTCAGTGTTTAGGCATTCTGCTGCAAAAAGATCAACTACAACAAAACAGATTACTTTAAATGTGCAGTAAAGGTATTTCTGCTGGAGATATTTGATGAAGAAATGTGTTTTGTTATGACTTATTGAATTCAATATAATCCCACATGTTCAGTGAAACAAAAATTATTTCAGCATTTTGAAAACTTATTTTATTCTATTTTTTTTTGCGACAGACGGCTCGCTCTGTGAACTTTGCCATATTTCCAAGATGGCAAAAAATACACACTAAAATGTACTAATATTAAATTTAACAGAAAACATTTGTTTAAAAATCATGACGATAACAACCAAGCAGCTTTCTATTCCATTCCCACAAAAAACTTAAGACATTCATTTCATAATTATGTGTAAAATTTTCCCTATAATGACTTTCTGCAAAAGAAATTCAAAATAAATATCAATGACTTGAGATTTTCAGACAATACAATTGCAACTTCA